AATAAGACAAACACTGCTTATAAATAATGTTTTGTATTGCTTATTATAACATTATTCATCTTTAAGTATGTTATTTCCAGAAATTCATCTGAATGCAAATGCACGGTGTAAGATGGTACACAATAAACATGATTTATACATTATCAACATTCCTGTCAACTTTAAAACCATGACATTCTTACATAGCATCGTGTCTCACGTGATTCTTTAAAAGGACATGCTTTTTAAATGGCAACTGGTAAACGACTGAAATATATTGCTATACAACAGCCCATTGTGTGTTGTTGCTTACATAGGGATTTGAGACCATCAGCCCTCAAGCACCTGCTAGATTCTGTCATTAAGAGACATCTGTTAGAACTTAAAACCATCTCCCTTTAAAGAACAGGTGAAAAGTTAAAACCATACGCAATAAATCCTTGACTCACAGCAGAGCTGTTTTGCCACTGCAAATATTGTGCACATGATGGTATTGTTTAATTCCTATTGTGGTATTGATAGCTATAATTGCATAGTCTTCATTGTACGTGTGTATGTACTGCCCTTTGTCGTGCGATACAATGCCATACAATGCATTCTTGCAGCGTTTAAACAAATACGTCTGCTACAAATGGTAAAGGAATTCTGCTGGTATTTGCTGAATAATCCAGTTGGAATTTTGAAGTGAGATTTAGTAATTGTTTGGGAACGTTTGGTTTTGAAATTACAGTACGATTGGCAGGTTTGCTAGTTGGTTTCGTTGGATTTACAACATGCGTGTGCATGAATGATGTGATGCTATCCCACATGCATTTGTCTTCAGAAATATTTAATCAGCAACACAGATCGCCCAAGGGGCAGCTTACGAGGGGGGGAAATACGTTTGCATAATTGTAAACACGGCCGTCGGGTTTTTTTCTTCAAGTTGTTGCCTCTCCAAGTTTGGGGGGAAACCTTTTGATTCAACTTGGCCAGCTTACCTTTGGGGTAAATCCCAAATAGCCACATTTTAAACCCTAATTTGGTTCAGACTGGATGGTCTTGATGAGGGTTATAGTGCGCGCATTTGTTTGGCGTGAACGAGTGGACAGAACTCACGAGTTTAACGCCCTTCGCTTTCGCTGGAAAGCGTAAATAAAATCACAGAATAATACAGCGCAGGCCCCTTCACCCCTGAAGGCCTCATTGCCATGATAGCACGACCCTAAATAATAGTAAAACTACAACATTGCCGTCAGTCTCACAGCTTGCGCCATAGTATTATTATTTTTACTGCCTTGTAACTCAACGGTCGAAAAAAATCCCGCGCGTTTAATGGTGCGTTACAAGTCGTGTTTAAGAGCAAGCTTTGCTTAAGATTTAATATTTAGAGATCCATTAACAAAAGAAAAATCACAAGCCCAAGTGGTAAATTGTGTTGTCATATATCCTATTAAAATAGCTTGTTAAGCAAAGTTTTCATTCGTTATGCGCCTCCAGCATGTCCGCGACATGGGTTGAGATTCAACGGAACAATCGATTTTGTTGGTGTCTCATTTGTTCCCTTTCGTTTGTATTCTTCGTATTTTGCGGTCTTATTTTCACGAAAAAGTTCACGCTATTAGCCTCAAAGAATCGTCGGCATTTACTGTGAATATGCTGCGCTTAAATTGTAAGTAATCGATGACTGCAGTAAAACAGTCGATTTGCTTTCAGTGTCCTATTCTGCATACATCAACCCTGCAGCAGCCAAGAACACCCGTTGTTAGGCTCAACCCTGCTTCGCTTCCGAGACCAGAATCAGAGTCCTGATATGGATGGGGAGGAATCCGATGAGCTATGAATCTCTTTTATCACAGACGTCCAGTAGGGACGGCTCAGCAAGTTGCACAAACAACAAACGATACCAAAAAAAAGACACAAGAGCAAGATAGAGAAAGTGTAAAGCAATTTGGCTCACTACATAATTAAAGTGATGAGACTGGCCGCATTTCTGAGTGATTCGGTCGTTGAAATATGCACAGAATTGCATCAGAAATGCATCGGCGGTGAGGCACAAATGTGCTTGTTATGGAGTATTTTAGTTGCAGGGGTTCAGGCTCTGCTGCTGCTGCTCCACACAAGAAGCGGCTCTTTGTGCTTCGCGTGGCTCCCAGCAGTGCATTTAGCAGCGCTGTTGGGGGGGGGGGGGGTGCGCCGCTGGCTCCGTTGGTAGCGTACACACAGCGCCGGGATTGTGGAGAGAGTCGGTCATGTGACGACGCTTCCAGCTTCAAGGGATGCATGCAGTCTGGCGAGAGTTTTGTGGTCGCCTCGGTTGATGAGCGTTCCCAAACGCTGGCAGGGCGTCATACTTTCCTTTATTCCAAAAGAGTTTGAGGAGGGGCAGATGGGGGGGGGGGGATGTTTTCACACATACACAGCAGCACGTGTGTGTGTGTGTGTACACAGCATGGGCGAGCATTGAATATGCCTCGTACAGGTTGATAACACGATGTAACACCATTTTTGTTCTTGGGTAGTAAGTGTTATTTTCTTAATTGCTTATGCTTCAAAAGTGCAGAAAATGACTATTATTCCCCCACAAACTTTGCTTTTGTGACCAGGACAGTGATATTTTGAAATGTACCTATTTTCAATGAGAAAACGTGGTGTGCAGTTGTGTCATTCCTTCACGTAAAGTCCTGGTCACAAAAGCAAAGTTTGTGGGGAATAATAGCCATTTTCTGTACTTTTGAGGCATAAGCAATTATAAAATAACACTACCCAGTAACATTTTTTTTGTTACGCAGTGTTATATTCCGTTACAGTTCTACATGGGATAGTGCATTCGTTGCTTGGTGATTCTGACTGTAAGTGCTTTTAGTGTTTCCCATCTCATCATTGCCGTCGTCATCAACTGTGATCCATCCACTGCTGGATCAATGCCTCGCCCAGCCAATGCCATCCTCCATGCGTCTGCTACAATGCCACAATCTGTCTCGCTTATACATACAAGCTGAGTTAATCACTCCACAACAGTTCAATAGTGGTGGTGAGGTCCTACTTTCATATTTATTTTCTGTTTTACTTTACACAGTTGTGTTGTTTTGAAGTGTTTTTGTGTTATTCGCTGCCTCGTGATTTACACCGCACCTCTGATTAGCACGGTTCGTTACGTTTTGTGTGAAAGACGTTCACCAAACATACAGCATTCATATAGTTTCTTTCGACCTGATGATTGTGTTTTGTTTGCTGGCTACATACGGTGCGCAAAGAAGTTCAACACACGCACACACGCAGCAAATTGTTTTTAAACCTTCAAGCAGCCAGCCACCTTTTCAACGGACCTTCACAATCGCTCTCACCGATGGTTTGAGTCGCGTAATGTTGTTTTCTCTCTTAAGAATTCGTGGCCGTCTCGCTCAACGTGTCCCTCCCACATTAAAGGGGGCAGTGATTTATGGAAGCCTCAACCTGGACATGTTTAGCCATGCTCAGCAAGCAAGAACGGCGGAGGGAGGAGCGGGTGGTGGGTTAGGGGGGCGGGGCAGCACCTATGCCGCACTTTGACAATGAATCACTGCCCCCTGCTATAGGCGGGAGAAGCCGGTCTGCTCCGTGCGTTCCACACGTCTGTCGTGTCTGCGCGACCCAAATGTTTGTGGCGTCTTGCTCCCAGGGCCTAAGGTGTCAGACTGGGGTGTGGAGTATTGTGTCTCGAGTCTCGCTGCAGACCTGCGACCAGACGCGATGACGCACTCGAGCAGAGCACAAGTGGGGGCTGCCTTAAGACAGACGACCGCCTCCTCCGTGGGGCTAATCATGGCCTTGTTTATTTTGCCCCCTCTCCTGGGATGCCCTCCAACCTCCCCCCCCACCCCTCAGCGTTTACGTTGGAACGAATCCCAAAGCAAACTCAAGTTAATTGTTTTTATTTTTTATTGTAAATTTTGTGCCGGTTCAGAATTGTTGAAAAATATTGAGTTTTTTTTTTACGTATTGAGTGCACTTTAAAAAAATGTTTTTTATCGTTGCGAAGTACATTCATGGTGATTATGTGTATTTAATATGCTTATGTATAATGGGACATAATGTCAAAATATACGCTCTAGACTTTACGATTTTGTGCCAAGTGATAGCCGTAGACGTTGAGCCAAAAGTGATGGTCAACACGTACAAACAATCATAAAATAATGTTGGGTTCATTGTAAGCATTCTTATTTGCTTGGGAAGAATGGTCGGAACTCAGACACAGACGACAGTAATTTCAGACCTTTGTGTGACTTGTCAGCTGCGTGTAAGTCACCGACACAAATCTCTGGGTGCGCACAGGCCGTAATCAAAGAGTGAAGAGTTCTTGTTTAGCCATTTCACGAGGAATTGGACACTGGGAGATTATCCCATTGTATTGGATGTCCTGTCAATCCTTTTCATGTTCTTCATCAGGTTAATGGTCGTATTTTAATTGGGATTTTTTTGGGGTAAAACATCAGAGATGGCCAAGCGGCTAAGGGGTCTGAGCGCTAATCTGGCACCGCTGAGATCCTGTGTTTGAATGTGGCTTTCAGTTGCTCATGATTAAGATGGGTCTTCTCTTTTTTATGGAGAGTCGATAACCTCAGCCTGATCAACAACGACATCGCACAACAAATAAAGATCATTTACATCTGGTGTTTGACATTTCGGTTTGACTGCCACCTGACACTTCGATAGCAGCAGGGTGTGCGGGGAAAATGCTGTGCCCTTAAAACAAGTTCTAAAAATGTCCCTTTTTTCACTCAGCTCGAATAAATACTGTAATTCTGCACGAGTACATAATTGTACTTTGTACACTTTTTGTGAATTTAAAAAAAAACCTGTTAGATTACACAACATTTGCTAACCGTCGGTATAGGTAGTAATCGCGAAGGAATTTTCATGAAGAATTTCACAAACCTGAGTCATTTTTGGTCACCTTGCTGTTTGCTGGTGAAGCATCGGTGTGCCGTTTTTCTGACGTATGGTCGTGGCTGGCGTGTGCCTGGCATGTGATTTGGCGGGCGTGTCGCTTGGTGGTACAGGCTGGTGGTTCGTGAGCAGCTCTGACGAGCAGGGCTGGGTGCCGGCTTCCTTTCTCGAGCCGCAGAAGGAGACCCAGGACGAGATCGTCGCCAACGGAGGGAGCAAGACGGGAGAAGGTGAGCTTTACTTGAGCGGGATTTTTACAAATCCAGCGCGCGGCGCGTGATGCCCACAGGCGTGGCAAGTTCGGTCTCGGCAGAAGCAGACGCTGTGTTTTCTTTTTTACAGTCGTGGTGTCAATTCGTGACCCTCTGTTTGCAGTCCAGTGCTGGGTGGAGACCTCTGTGTTAGCCGTGGCTGAGAATCTGGCTCGGTTCCCAGGGTTCATGGTGTAGTGCACTAACAATTGCACCACAATTAAATTTAGTGGTATATATATATTCACTTAGTATATGGGGGTTTTAATGTATCACACGACAATGAAGGTGAACTTGATAATTATGTTCTGTACACATGTGATCACCATGTTGAATATTCATAAAATATCAACTTCTCTTTGAAAAATACTATTTAGTATTTTAGATTACATAGCAAATTAAACGTTTAACTTTCTAATATTATTATTTCTAACTGTAAGTCATTGATTATGTTTTCAGTTTGTATAGTTTTTTTTGTCTTGGCCAGTTGTTTTTCGATAATCTCAAATCGTGGTTACGCGTGAACAAAGATGTGCACAGGATGACACAAGTGCGCACATGTGAATACAGATAACCTTTACAATGAGAGCATAAACAACTGATTTTTGTTGCGTTATATTTTATCCTGAGAATTCTGCGCTGGTGTTGGCGCAAAACTAATGACATTAAGTGTGTGGGGTTTGTTTTTATGGCACGCAAGGCTTTCTCGACCAATATTATGATTCATAATACATTTTTAGGTCAAATCGCTGGAGCAAAATGTGTTTCGGAGAACCCTCCTCCGCCCAACACAGCCAATTGATGAAAGTTGTCACGTGAAAAAATAAAGTGGCCAATGTGTGACTGCTTCAGCAGCACCACCGGTCGTGTCGGAGGGCGATCCGCAACGTTTAACAATCGGGCGCGGGCGTTTCGCCGCTACAGTCGTCACAACAGCCATCATCAGGCAGTTCAACCCCGATGAAGCTTGCAGAGCTGAATGGAGCTCAAAATAACTCGCAAACAAACACCTCGTCGTGAAAGACCCAACGCAGGAGATGCCTGGGTTTGATCGTCCACGAAACTCGCGGTCCACCCTAAACTGACTGCATCCATACGAACCATGGCGGCTGATGCGGATAGCTGATGCACAAATGGAAACTTCAAAACTCTCCAGTGTGCGACTGTGGTCATCCAGAACAGAGCGTACAACCTGTAACGACGCAACGCCCGAGCCACCAACTCGAAGGAGAGATCACGGTGATACACTCCGCTGCTGGTGATGCGGCTGTCTGACTAGACCGCTTGAATGTGAAAGACGAAGAAGATGACCGGGCAGTTGCCGGCCTACATTGTGTTGTTTGCTCTGATCAACCTTCACACATCAAATTGTGCTTCACTGCTGTGAATGTTGCTCGCCTAATTATTCACGTCGCTGATGCTTGATCACAAAGCCCCTGCACCCCCCCCCCCCACACGCACCCCGCACTTGCTTGGTCGCAGTCGGGCACACCCCACCCACCACGCGTTGATTGAATCTGCCCAGCAGACCGCCCACGTCTTTCTCCCGTTCCTCACCAAAACCTCGCGGATGTTCCCTTTTCCCTCTCCTCTCTCACCCACACGCCCTCCCCTCCCACCACGCATCACGGGTCTGCCCCCACCCCCCTTGCCTCCCCCACCCATCCATGACCCCTCCTTGTCTCCTCCTCCTCGATCCCTGACACCTCCTCGCGCGGTCAGTGGCTAAGCGGCGAAAGCCCCACTTGAAGAGGCTGGATCGGCGCTGGACCCTAGGGGGCTTCACGAACCGGCACCAGAGCAGAGGTGCGCCTCCTGCTATCCCCCCCCCCCCCCCCCCCCCCCGTCGATTTGCATGCTTCTAATCAAACGTCTCGTGCTGGCGGTCTGCTTCTTCCACCCCCACCCCCTGTAGTTGAGCCTGTGTGCAGGAATTTTGATGGGCAAACCCTAACAAGAGATAAGATGTTGACGTTCGAAATGTATCGCTATAGGAGGATACCGCGTCCGAACTGGAGCCAAAAGAGTGACCAACGTAGAAGTTAGACAAAAAGTTGCGCGTGGAAACAGGCAACCTGATGTTGCAGGCAGGGATGAGAAGGAAACTGGCACTTTTTGGGCACACGTGTACGGATGGACAACAGTAGGAAAAGCAAAAGTGAGTTGTTGTTTGTAAAAATGTAAGGAACCGGAAAGAGAGGAGGAAGACCTCGCCGAGAATGGCTTGACGACGGCATAAGAGAGTTCGGTGCCAGAAAGAAGTGCGCACTGCTTGATGATATTGGCACAAGACAGAGAAAAGTGGAAACAAATGACGAAGTGTGCGATGGCCACCTACGGCAATCTGCCCATGGATTGTGGTGTTGATGATGATGATGAAGGAATCTTGGTTTCCCGCACAATCATTGTTCTTCCCAGGACAAATCTTCGTTCCGCCCCAGTCAACATTGGTTGCCCTGCCTCTGATTTTTCTTTTTTTATCACCAAATTAGGGTTTGGGTGAGATGCTAAATTTGCTCAAACGAAGTGAGGACCAAACAGCTTGCGTGAAGAAGTGTATGGCTCCAGGAAGCCACTGCGAGCTATGCACTTTTAAATATAATGGAAAACTAATTTCTTTAGAACTGCTTTTTTGTGTCTCGTTTGTTCTTCCCCCGCACCTCCAATTAGCGCGGTTCTCTACGTACCGTGGGAAAGAGGTTCAACATACATACATACACGACGGCGAACTAAACAAAGATTTCATAAATAAGTTCCTGGGGAAGTGAATATTCAGGGGTGGAACAAATGTGCTTTGACGCCGGCTTGCCTTGTGCGTGCGTGTTCACGACGAGGGCGCTTGTGCATTGAGGTGTAGCCGACTGAAGCCCAGTGAGCGATGATCAAAGCCCTGCGATTGGGCCCCTGGTGCTGATCAAAGCTCTGATGTGTGAGTCTTTGTTTTCATCGTCCATTGGCTGCTCTAGTACTCGCTCGTGCTGTGGAGCGATTCACCACCCGCCCCCCGTCGCCCCCCGCCCCGCCCGGCGAGTGGATGAATTGTCACGATGTTTTCGCTGCAATATGGTGGCAAGCGTAGCGGCCTCCAGTGCCTGCAGCGGTCAGATTAACCCATTGCAACACGTGCAAATATCTAACAGTATTTTGCGATTGCACGCGCAGCGCTGGCGTACGAATCGCGAGCTCGAGAGAGCGGGGTGCTCACCGACGCGTCATTACACACCCCCAGTTGAACTTGGCGCCTGCTGCGTGACCGCACGAGCAATGTGCGCGTCTACGTTGAACTTCTTTCGCGCCGTACGTAGCCAACCGCGCTCATCGGGGTTCGATCGGTGGCCGTAAAGAGACGACGGCTTCGCCCTTCATTTCCTCTCTCGATCGGTCTGAAAACCGACACCCGATTGTTCCCTCGTTAGCCGAGGCAATCCCGTGATGAAGATGGGGGGGGGGGGGTTACTGTCCCCCTCACCCCGGCAGAGGATCGCCTCGTTTATTGGAAGTTACGCGTGGCGACCCTCGCGCGATTAAGAGTGAAAACGATTTCAAGTGAGCGAAACCAAAGAACTTTGCCTCCTTCGAAATTAATTTGCGAAAAAAACGCCTCGCAGTCGTAGGTCGTCGATTCTATCGTTAACGAAGTCATTTGTTTGGCGACGCTGCTTTGGCAGCGGTAGACAAACTAGCACAAATAAACAGAGGCCTTCAATGCGCTCGTCAAAGACACTTGGGCCTCCAAAGAGAAAGGGAATAATAGGCGACGTTCGGAGAAATGGCCCTTCTTCACAGTGCATAGAGAGGCCAGAGAGGGGTAGAGATGTTAAAGGTCACGTGACACCATTGCATGCAACGTATACCGATTTGAAAAGGGTTGATTATTACACGTGCCATTTAGTGATTGTATCATGGTTGAAAAATGGATATTAATCGATAAATCTGCATGTCTTTTCACCCATACTATACGATGGGTATTCACAAAGTGCCATCTCGCGACTTTGAATACAGTTGTTGGCTTCATGATATGAAAAATAAGAATAGGTTTTACACTTTCTGGCAAGAAAACAGGGGTTAAGATGTTTTGATGTTTTATTGCCAGAAAGGGTAAAACCTTTTCTAAATTTTAATACTTTGATACTCGGAATAAGGTCCCTCGACTTCATGATACTTGGTGCACCACGAGGGTGTGTCTTTCAAAAGCCAGTCACGTGAATGTGCGGTGGTAGTCATTTCCTGTCAACATACAAGAGCAGTTCGTGGAAATTCCACATTCCTATCGCGGAAAGCAAGTCTACCCATAGAATGACCATAATCGAATGAAATATGCTTAGTTAACTCCTCAACGGGATTTGAGCTTCACAACCTTCTGACCGCAAGCCACGCGCTTTACCCAAGGTGCCACATCAGGTTTTTGAGATATCAAATATTGCATTTTCAATAAAAACTGCAGAAGAAAAATATTAAATAAATTTGGATATCTACATAAAATGATATTATAAACACACTATCCTAAAAATACAGCACCATATTTTAACACTAAAGCAGTCACTGACTCGCAACAACTTGCAATCATAAGTGACAGAGTTAATTTTGGGTAAAATCAATGAAAATGGGGTATGCCGATAGCATAAAAATGAGATGTGATAGAGCAAATCTGAGATCAGATTTGGAATCAGCACCCTGAAATTAGTATAAAACAGCTGCAAAAGTCCAGGCCAGAAAAAATAAATGTTTGTTGTTGACCAGTGTTATCAGTCACAATCCATCCGCGACTGGACGAAGGCCTCCCAAAGCCATCATCATCTCGAATAGTCTTGTAATACAACGATCCATTTGGCTTCTGCCCACAAAACAGATTTTTACTAACATGAGAATTGAGAGAAGTGAAAACGTACTCTATTGAAAAAAAACCAGTCGTAAGTTTGAGTATTCACGAGCTGAAAAATTGCATCTTTATATGGAAACAAACCGCATAACCCTCCGTTGTTGATAAAGGCGTCAAGCCTTTTATTTCCTCGACCCCCTCAATGTATAAAGTTAACAACGCTACGCAGAAACAGTTACTGCACGCAAGGGATTACAAATGCTGTGACACCCCTGTTTAAGTGCTGTTTTGTCAAGTCGTGGGTAAGGATGCGGTGTTTTGTTTTTTTAGTTTGGGCCTCATTGAATTTCCTGCATGCGCATTTCTTTTCCTGTCGCCAGCCTTTGGACGCAAAGTTACTGCCAATAAAATAACGCCCGGAAATTCAATTCCGGGTTTTTTTTTCTCCTTTTTCTTGGCTCGGTTACCCGCTCGTGTGACATTTGGCGAATGGTAGAAGAATATAAGAAAAAATCGGAAATGTTTTCCAACAAAATTATTTAATATATCGTACGATACCGTTATTCGGATTTATGCGCGTGCATTTTTTTCATTTAAAGAAATATTCAAGACAATTACTACAATGATGGCCATTATTTTTTGTTTGTAAATCACTTCCAATGGAAATTCAAAAGCCAAATCGTTCACTTGGGCAGCTTGAGCGAGGGTTAGGGAAACTTTTGCCCTCCTGTGAAACATCACGTGGCTCGTCGACCCTAACACCGGCGTCTCCTCCTCCGATTGTTCACTCGCGCAGAAGAGCGGTGCCTGGCAGTGCAGTCGTACACAGCGCAAGACAAGGATGAGATCAGCTTTGAGAAGGGAGCCACCCTAGACGTCCTCCAGCAGGACACCGAGGGCTGGTGGCTCGTCAGGTGAGGACGTAAAGCCACCGCCTGTGTCTGTGCGTGCGTGCGTGTGTGCAGCGGGGAGCGGTCGCGTAGTGGTTAGCGCACTGCGCTACCAACCCCGGCGACCTGAGTTCAATTCCCGCTCACGAGCAGCAACAGTGGTGAATATTTGAACCGGTCCTCGGCCTCCCCTAGGTCGACTCAACCTCAAATGAGTACCTGTTAAGGTGTGTAAACATCGCCACGCGGGAGACAAAAGTGGTCGGGTATGGTGCTGGCCACCCACCCCCTCGTGTGCCGTTCCAGTCTTCATAGGTGCTCGCGAACAGCGCTTGCCCCAACAGTCTGTTCAGATCTTTGTCTTTTGTGGACTACGCTATTGACGATCAGTTCAGTTTGGCTTTCAGTTTATAACACAAATAATGTGCAGCCTTTCTAAAATCCACTGCTGGATGAAGGGATGAAGGCCTCCCCATTGCCTTGCCAGTCAGTGGGGTTGTTTTACTATACTTCACCACGCTGGTCAGAGCATAACAGCGCAGTGCAGTATAGCCATCATTATTTTTCACATTGTTATCGCACAGTGCTTCGGTGTTCGTTAATGCTTGGACCACCAAAGGCACGGTGTTTGAAATCCCTATTCGGCCCACGCGAAGGAACGCATTGGTCCCCCCCCCACCCTTGGTCAGCAACCAAAACAACGAGAAGAGGCATTTTTTTCGCATTCGGTAAGCAACTCAAATATTTCAAGAGCCCCCCCAATGCACGTGAATACGAGACGGTGCTTCTTAATAAACAACGCGTCACGAAGCCAGTCCTTGGAAGAGGCGCACGCGGCTCGGGAGCCACGGGTTTTCCCGACCCCACCCCTCCCCCCCCTTGCTCTGAGCCATCGAGCACACGGACCGACTGACCTGTCGCCACCCAAACTCTCGCGAGCAGACACCAGGGCCGGCAGGGCTGGGCGCCAGCCTCGTGCCTCCAGAAGGTCCCGGAGGAGCCGGCCACCCGCCGCAAGACCACCTTCCACCCGGTGGAGATCATCAGCACCATGATGGAAGTCAGCAACCTGCCCGGGCGCCAGGCCTCTCCGGGCAAGGAGCCGCCGCCCGCTAAGGAGGGGAGCCCCAAGCCGACGCCGGCGCCCAAGCCGACCGCCAAGTGCGCCGAGCCGGCGGGCTGCGGCACCGAGAAACGCGCCCCCGGGTCTCCCGCCGTAGCAAGAATCGCCCCGCAGAGGCCTGCCACAGGTCAGATTACCGCCCCCCCCTCCTCCTCCTTTGCTGCTGCGTCGGCTTGCCCCTTGCTCAAGTAGGGGTGCCACCGTGGGCGAGATGTCAACTCCCTCGCCGGGTATGCAGGAGGTCGTGGGTTTCGATCCCGACCCTGATGCCTACTGTATATTTGGAGTTTGCATGTTCTACCCGTGGTCACGTGGGTTTTTCTCCGGGTCAACAGCACGCGTTTAGAGTATTTTTCCGCGATAGATTTCCACATGATAAGCCACTTCGTTGAAATATAATTTGTGTTCAGGTCACTTCTCAAAAAGAGCTATATAGCTTAGTGGGCCTTGGTGAAATTAAAAATAGTTTCGTTTAATTGTACTTGTTTGTGCTACGCCTTGCTACTAGGTTTGCCAGCTGTCCTGTTTTTTCTGTACTCTTCCCCGCGTATATCAGCGGATGTATGTATGTTGAACCTCTTTCGCACCGTACGTAGCGAACCTTCCTAATCGGAGGTGCGCGATAAGATAAGATGAGGCATGCCGCAAAAGCTGTGCAAGAATTCCTGCTGTTTTCGGTGCTAATTAGTGGGTGAGGTGTCACAGGAAGTGGTCTCCCAGTCGCCCTTTCATCCACAGCTTTCCACGGATCAAAGAAAAAAGTGGGTGACCAGAAAGTTGTGGCATAGCCATCCTATTACCCGCATACGACTGCTTGATAATAGAAATAATTAACGCGGATAATAGGTACCTTGCCCACATCAACACAGATAAGAGGAGCTTCACTGTACATGTATTTGAGTTGAACTGCACGTGCCGGCGCTGTGGGGGGTCACATGTTCGTCTGCTGCCAGAAAACTCGGCTCCAGGGCGCTTGCGTAAACTCGCTTTGTTTCTTATTTTTTTCCTCCTCCCCCCTTTTGGCTGATCTTAGTTTTTTAAATTTACGGATGCAAAAGCCAACGCTGCAGTCGTGACGTTTCGCATCACGCCACTGCCCTGCGTGTGTTTGCGCGTGTCTTGGGAGCGGTAGTGCAGCGGTTAGCGGGCTGCGCTACGAACCCGTCGACCCGAGTTCGATTCACGTTAACGGGGCCAACACCAGTGACAATTTTCGTGAATTGGTCCTGCCCTCCCCAAGATCGACTCAGCCTCAAATTAGTAGTGTGTAATCATCGCCGCTGGGGAGACAAAGGCGGCCGGGTGTGATGCTGGCCACCCACCCCCTGGTGTATCTTGCTGGCCTCGCCAAAAGCACTTTCCCCGACAGTCTGTTGAGGCTGTACGGAGGGGCGGGAATCTTTGTCTTGTGTTGGATTTGAAGCAAAGTGTGCCTCTGCTGCGATGCGTTCACCGGTGTAATTTTTGTGTTTTTTCTCCCGCTTGTGTTTTTCAGGCTCTCCTGAGCTGTACAAGTCCGTTTCCCCAAAACGCGATGCCAGTTTGGTGAGTGTAGACTTGCAGGTTCGTTCTCTGTCCTTCATTTCATCTCGAGGCAACTCTCCGCTGCATTTTGGGTCTCTTGCGTTGCCTGCGCTTCACTCGTTCGTGTGGTTGTCTAATTAGGCGGAGCGTCTGAACGTATTCCAGAGACGTTTACCGTTTCGTGCGTCTCGCTGTCAGTTTGTTAGATGTAAGGGAATTCATCGGGACGTTTATTTGCGTTGCATTTGCTCGTAAACAACGTCGATTCAAGCCTCCCCGAATCTGTAAAACAACTGGGACATCTCCATAATAAATGTTGTGGCTTGGCTCTCCAACACACCGGTGTGCTGTACTAGTAACGAATTAGCATGTTCTGCTTACGTGAAAACCTTACATTTCCCTTCAAATGTATAACTTACTCAAGAGTTTATGTGGCAACTACAACGTCTTCTGTTATTGTACTGATGTATCGTAGCTTCCGGCCACAATACTCAGTCGTTTTGTACGTAAGAAAGAAATATTAGCAATGCTCGCTGTGTTCCAGTAGTTTAGAACAAACAAAGAAGGAAATCAAAGGGGCCTTCATAGGTGCAAAGGGACAATTCTGTGTTATTTATTTTGTATATGGCCAGACCCCTATTTGTGGCTTTATTTATGAATGGGCGTATCTGGGCCGTCATACCATCGGGCAGTCGCCTATCTTGTAAAACAAAGTATTGGAGATACTGCGTTTGCAGTGGTGCACAAGCACATGTAACAACAAAAAACTCAACACAGTCTTCAACAACACTGTGGCCTTAATAAGATAAGTATATAATAAGCAACGTTTATAAGAAAGCCCCTTCTTCATAGAGATAACGTATATATAGACAGAGATAGAGCGAATACGTGGATCAGAGTTGGAGTGTGTGCTTTACAGCGTGGTGATTCACTCGATCTTTCTGGCTTGAAACGTCTCCGATTATATATTTTTCTTTTTACGACCACAGCGTTATTGACGAAGGTGTGGAGTTGATTGTCATCATAACTCCCAAGCAGTTACGACGACTTAAGATGTCCTGCATCGGCCTTCTAAACAGCCATGAAAGTGAAGCGTTACCCCTTCATCTTCCCGTCACGTAGCAAGGATCAGTGTCTTCTTATTGTTCTCCTCATTAGCACTTTGATAGATACATAGATAGCCTCCTTGTTGCGTCAGTTTTGTCATCTGGTGCGGAGGCCTGGACATTGCGTCAGGCTGATTTTGATCGGCTGCGGTCCTTCCACACGCGAGGCCAAAGATGCCCTCTTGGCATCCGATGGTTCGACTTCGTCGGAAACGTCACCGTTGCATCTGCGACCGGTCTCCTAGCGATCCAGGGCTTAGCTCGAGAGGGGAGGACGGCTGTCGCCTCTTCGGACACGTCGCCCCGTATTGATGCGCACACTCCAGCAAACTGCGCTCACTTCAGTTGGCGGCCGGCGTTCGAAGTGAGGACCGCGACTCCTCTCAAAGGGATGCCATCACCCCCGTGGTCGCCCCACCCCCCGTGTTCCGTGGATAAAACAAATCACTGGAGACAGCAAGTGCATGGCAGCAAGAGGAGTCGATGCAAACGCTGTCGCAAGAGGTCGCACATTTGGCGCAACGGTCCCTCAACTGACTATGCCTCATCTTCTTGGTACTTTCGGTAAAGTCACGCAGAAGGGAAATAATGAAATAATAAAAATAAAACATAATACAATAATTCTCCCGACGTTTCGGCCACAACGCAATTCAGACGCTGTCTTTACGACAGACCTGTTCTTCACCTGAGGACGGCTGCTTGCGTTGTGGCCGAAACGTCGTGAGAATTATTTTATTATGTTTTATTTAGATTTTTGTATTATTTCCCTTCTACGTGACTTTACCGAAAGAACCAAGAAGATGAATCCCTGCAGTCACGAAAGCTTTAAATCGAAATTTGACTATGCCTCGTGAATGAACGAACAGGTCGTAGGACAAATGGAAATTAGGGACATCGTATTGCCTGTCGAGAAGAGCTCGTGGGTTTGGGCAGTGCACGTCGCTTTTAAGGGACGATGTCAGACGGTCCAGATTGACGACAGCCGAAGGAGGGGGCGCGCCCGAGAGGACGGCCACTGTGGAGGTCTCGCGATGAGTTTGTGCAAGAGCTGCATCGGTTGTCGCATCGTGCGACCGTAAACGATGTTGGCGGCTTGGGGAAGTCCGTCATTCATCCAGCAGTGGATAAGCCATGGCGGATGATGATGGTGGTGGTGGTGGTGGTTATGATGATCAGGACTCCATTGGGGCTGCATGTTTCTTTTTCCAGGGCAGCGCACCAGAGTAACATCATTTACACATTTTGCAGTGTGTGTTCGAAGGCCCCGCAGTATAAGGCAACAAAGGCAGTTTCATATTGTTCACATCCCTCAAGGCCACAACGGTAGTCCACTAGGCCCCTTAACTCTGCTGCCAGACCCCAATAAACTCCGAGAACCCTTTAAAACCATCACGACGGCACTCTCGCTCTCGACATACCTGCCCCGCATCGTTACTTTCCGGAGGAAGGATTTCAGCCACTGGGGGGACCCCGTGGGATCTGCTTCCTCGAGTGGAAATCGCTCTAACCGCTCGGCTCTCCAGTCGGCCGATATAGCCTCCTTTTGTTACTATACGCCAACAATCTCGGCAAAACCGTACGCAGATCCATTGAGTAACACATCACACCCTCCTGCCCACCGATTTTCATCATCCTGAGCAATGTTCTCTCCACCGCTGAATGAAGGTGTCTGCATAACCGTTCGCCATCTCGCAGTGGTGTCACAATGCAACTGCCTCGCCAGCTCCTGCAGCCAAGCTGATTTCATGGCTCCGCCTCCGTTATCGGACGTCCTCTGTGACGTGTCCCCTCCTTTGCCTGCCACCCCAACACTAGTCTCGACCACCGGCCACCATCCGTTGTTGCGTCGCGTGCCCCCCGAGAACCACTTGGCTTACTTAACCGTCAACACGATGTCTTTAACTTGCGCTCGTTCTCCAACCCACGTGGTTCCCCTTCCTGTTTGTCAGCCTTTAGATCCGAGCACACACCTCTCCATCTTTCCTTTGCGTGACTCCACACAGATTTGAATGCACAACAAATGCCCCGAGAATAACTCGCTCAAAAGTTTGGGCTGTATTGGTTGCCCCTTTTAATTGTTGTTGCTGTTGTTGTTGTTGTTGTTGCTGTTAGCTGCCTTTTGTGCCACCCAGGTGAACTCTAGATTTGAGAACAATCATTGCATTAAGTGCGTTTTGGTTGGGCCTTCATGGAGCTTGGCCTGGCAGCCTTGTCATTAAAACGCAGTTTATCCCCAAAGGTGTTCCTGCTGGTGTTGGCATTTTGTGCAATCGGTATACACGGTTCCCTTTGTTTCATGAAACGCCGTGTGTGCGTGTGTGTGTGCACGCGCGTACGTCCACACTTAATTTTAACCAGATGTGGCCTCACAATTACAGCGGCTGCTGCGTTCACGTTTTAACCAGTTTGACTCCTTTTTTGCAAAGTGTACATTTTTTATCGAATGCGTTCAACTTTAGTTCTCCTCGCAGCTGGTTTAGTATCTGTGGGGGTTTTTTTGTGTCTGTGTAACACAATTCCACGTGACATCATGTGTTTTTGACGTTTTGCTAAATTAAAACTGCCTCGTTTTTTTTCAAGCGAATATATAATAACCGGCCAGGGGGGCTCAGTGATTGAGTGAGCTGCTCTAAGTTGGAAGATTGTGGCTGGTTTGGGGTTAAACTCAGCCCACCGTTCCTCCTGGTTCGATAGAATGAGTACGAAACTAAACCATTTTTTTTATTTTAAATGGTAAAGCCCACTGAGCTATTATCTCTTTTTCAGAAGTGACCTGGCCATAAATGATAGCCCAATGAAGTGGCTTATCACGTGGAAATTTATAGCAGCCAAATACTCTGAACGCACGTTCTCACGATTTTCGTTTGGAAGTCAACAGTGGCTGTCCTTAGCATGGACTCTCCCTTGCCATAGGAACATGGAATTTCCACCACTGGCTCAGAGTTGTTAAAGGGTGATGAGCAATCGCTTCGATGCTCATTTAAACAAGAAGTCGAATTCACTTTTCTTGAAGCAGATACACATTTAATACCGTTTGTGAAAACCCACTGTCGTTTTCTAACGTCTTTTCCCCCCCCAGCGCACACTTTCTGGGCGTCATTTCTCTGTAACTCGAGCCGTGTATCCCAGACGGACGTTTTTTCCCATGGCTTGCTCTAAAGCCTTCCTGATGACGATGATGATATTCCTTGGCTCGAATCCCGCCCAACCACTGCATTGAGGCGGTACAAGGAAACGGCTGTTTACATAGCGGCTCCGCAGTGAAGCGCACGCGCGCCCCCCCCGCTCCTTTCCCGGCTTCCGCCGTCCCGTGCACAACTGCGATCGGGCACAAAACGGCGCTCTCCGCCGCTGCGCAAGGCTTGGCGAGTAAATTAAATAAATAACCAGGGGGGGGGGGTGGGGGGGCATATTTCCTTTGGGGCGTCCTTCCCCGGCCCGCCGCCGTTGTTGCGGAGAGGCTATCGCCGTCACAGAGGGGTGTCGAGTTGCAAGGAGGCGGACTAAAATAAGGACTCGCGGTCGGGCTACAATAGCGCGACTGCGTCGAGCCGCGCCGATGTGGAGAGCCTGTCTGGGAGGCGCCGAGAACGATTATGCCTCGATCACCGTGAGTAGCCGCGAGCTCCCGCTCTCTGCCCGTTGCGGGGAAATGTGTTTTGTACGAGAGGCCGAGGAGAGCCGTCTCGGGAACGGGGAATGGACGAGCGAGCGCACACGCTCACGGTTAGCGCGGTCGGCTACGTAGGCACGGTGTGCGCGAAGAAAGTTCAGCGTGCAAACTGCGGCTCGCTCGCCTCTCCCCCTGTGTACAGTATTGTTATTCTTACCGCTCGGCTTCTCTGCACTTGACTTCTGTTGCGTGTGTTTTGTGCTTAAAAGACGTGAGGTTGTCACCAGCGTAAAGTTACTTGCGTGCGAATTGTCGAGCTTCTGTGTCCCCGAAGTTGTGTTGCCCACCGCTCTGTACGGTTTCGTTAAATTACTGCGGTGAACTCCTCGGAGCGTTGGAGGCAAGGAGAGAGAAGGGTTAAATTTGCGCTCAAGGTGAGGTTCTGCTTTAGATCAATGTTGCTTGATGTTTTGCTTTTGGAAAGAATTCCTCTGATGTTTTTTTTTTAGGCTGTAAACTTTCTCTTTAGCATTCTTATCTCTGTCTTTCTGCCCTGCGGTGTACCAAATAATGTTTCCACTCTCACTCTGCTTTACATTCTTTCACAAACATTTTCCCTTGCACCGCTGTCTCTCTGCTGTCGAAGGCATTGTTGCAAGGGAGTTTAGTCTGGGGAATACAGAGACTGGTTTTGATTGAATAAAGTTTCTCAGCCAAAAAATTTGGCTGTTTTACTTTCGATGTGCATGCTAAGGATCACGCTGAGAGACAGAGAAAGGGGAATGCGTGGATCGGAAAACGTTCACAAGTTATGGACGTCATATTGACTTGTCACGAAAAGTGAGTGCTCTTGGTCAGGACACAGCTCAGAGAGATGATGGAAGAGACTGGTGATGGGGTGGCAGCCACAGGAAGGGAATTTGCCCGAGAAGAAGGATCGTGGCATTCCAAGAAGGTGTGAGATCACAGCGGCGTAGGGGCGGCCTCCATCCATTTGGTGGCTAGATCAGGGCCAGAGGTCGCAAACGGGTTTTGATTCCTTACCCGTACCCGGCCGCACCAGGGTCGCAAATGGGTACCCGTACCCGGCCGGGTATGGGTACCCGTATGCTACCCGTACCGTACCCGAAATGAGTGACAAACGGTTACTCACCAGTGACTCACGGTCTACCCGTACCTGTACCCAGCCGCACCAGGGTCGCAAACGGGTACCCGTACGGGTACGGGTAGCCGGGTATCGGGTAAGGTACAGGTATCGGGTACCCGGTTGCGACCTCTGATCAGGGCTGATGGTGGTGGTGGTGACTTTGATACCGTTAGGGTGGTGGTGGTATTATTGTTCAAAGAGGAAGCCACAAGGGCCGACTGTAGGAGTGGAGTAACACAGTGCTCCAACAATCGCAGTGTGTATATAACTTTGAGCTCATATAAAGATAGATCCTCTTTGATATAAATCTTACAAATGGTTTGTTTTGAGAACGCCGTGACTGTTTCTGTAAACAGTGTTACAGTTACAATTTATATTTCAAAATATTCGTATTATCTCTGCGCTGTGTACGTTAGCAGCTTAGTGCTGTTCGCAAGTACAGTGGCAGGTTTATTTTTGGGATCTCCACCCCCTTGGTAACTTTCGTGTGTGTGTGTATAAAAACGTTGTGTGTGTGTATAAGTCTTATGAGGAGCGGTGGCGCATTGGTTAGCACGCTGCGCTACGAACCCGGTGACCCGAGTTAAATTCCTGCTCACGGCCAACACCAGTGATGGTTTTCTGAACCGGTTGTGGGCCCTCCCATAGGTCGACTCAGCCTCAAAGGAGTACCTGGTGCAGTGTGTAAACATCACCGCTCGGGAGACTTAGGTGGTCGGCCGTGATGCTGGCCACCCACCCCCTCGTGTACCTTGCTGGGCTTCATGGGTGCTCACTAATAGCACTCTCCCCAAAAGTCTGTTCAGGCTAAAGGGAGAGCATTGTGTTTGTGTGAGGCTTAATGTGTGTACCTTGTATGGGCCTCTCCTAGGAATGACCGTCTGGTGTAGTGTGACAACACTGAGGGAGACAAAGGTGGCCAGGAGTTTATGGAGTGAGCTTTACGGTTGCAGTGCAGTATTTTTAAACAAAATCTAAATTGAAAGGGGTGAAATATTGCAAACCTGCAGTCAGCACGTGGACTTAAAACAAAGATGAACGCACGCGTCGTCTGCAATTTTGGACGGGCATCTGTTTTACTCCAGCGACTAGGCTGACTAAACTTAAAGAATAATAGTTTGTGTACTTTCACAAATATCCATGGCACTCTGAACCAATGGCAGTTAATTGTGAATCACGCCGACTCGTAACTTGGGGTTATTTTTACACCGTTGGTTAACCTGGTGTAAAAAAAGTCAGCGGCAGCCTTGTAAATTAAGGTAGCCGGGGAGTGCTTGTGGCCTGTGTGTGCACATTTCCACGTGTGTGTTTACCAGAGGTCGCAATCGGGTACCCGATACCCGTACCCTACCCGATACCCAGCTACCCGTACCCGGCCGGGTACGGGCACCTGTTTGCGACCCTGGTGCGGCCGGGTACGGGTACGGGTAGACCGTGAGTCACTGGTGAGTCACCGTTTGTCACTCATTTCCCAACGTCTTGTCTATTCTCACAATTCAAGTTCCTAGAATCAACCCACCCGCGCCTGCAATATGGCTTCATCCCAGAGGTCGCAATCAGGTACCCGATACCCGTACCCTACCCGTACCCGGCCGGGTAGGGTATGGGTACGGCCAGGTACGGGTACTCGTTTGCGACCCTGGTGCGGCCGGGTACGGGTACGGGTAAGGAATCAAAACCCGTTTGCGACCTCTGGTGTTTACATAGTGTTTACATAGCATTTCCGCGTAGTGTGTTTACATCGTGGCAAGCTGTTTAGTTCACTGCATTATGACTACGAACACGAGTTCCTGGCCGGGATTCATTTCAGCCAGAAGACCGCCCGGAAAATACATCCGCACCCGGCACACCACATCCATTATACCTTTGGCTATGTCTGTTGCTAGTGGTCAGGGTCCCCGCCTGCTTCCTGTCTACCAGCGAGCTGTAAAATATTCAGTGAGAAATAAAGATCTGTGGTTCGATTTCAAACCTTGCATGTCACAAGTAGCATTTGGAGTCTGCTCCTACCCTAGGTGCTCTTCTAAGTCAGCTCCGCCTAATATAAGTGCCCATTATAGCATTACCAACATCAGCACATGGTTTTATCACTAGCTACGTAACGAAGCGTCGATTCACCAATCAAAATCGACTCTTATGCGCGTGACGCGTGTGTTTCAAAGCTGATCGTGATGTATTCAAATAATATTACATTTAGCCCGATGGACCACACAGAACTTCACGGAAAGCAGTGCAACCATAATGCAAAAACTAAAATTAGACAAAACAATCGATTCTTGAATACGAATCGCAAACCTCAATCATAACAATCCATTGAATCACATGGGTGCGCAGTGGTGATGAATCATTGCATGCCGATTTAACAGCACACAGCTCACCCGGTCGGGCATGGCACCGACCTCGTACACTTTCCACTCTCTTTTGCGCCATTCTGACCTTAATAGGCGCTCGCTAACAGCACCATTTGCCTCAACAGTCTGTAACCATGCATGGTTATTTTCTGGTTCGCCTTCCATCTGTGTTGGCGTGTGTGTGATGCGCGCACGCGTGCCAAAAGCACCGCTGTGTTTCTATGGTGCCTGTGTATGTATAAGTATGTGTCCAGTGTGTGTATTTACCGTATGATTGGGGCCTTAATAGGTTCTCGCTAACCGCACTTCCTGCAAGCCGTCTGGTTGAGACTATACGGGGGATCTTTGTCTTTGTATGTGTGGGGGACGGTGGCGTGGTAGGGAGCGACACTGCCCTACAAACCTGGTGAGTTGAGTTCCATTCCCGGAAATTACTGGCATAAGTGGCAAAAATCTGAACTCCTCCTAGGGCTACTCAGCCGAAAATAAGTACCCGGTGCATTGTGCAAACATCAGCACTGGGAAGACAAAGGGGGCCAAGCGTGGTTATGGCCACAACAACACCCCCCCCCCCCCCTCGCGAGGCGTTCCGGCCTTCATAAGTGTTTAGCTCAGAGCACTTGCCCCTTGCAGTCTGCTGGGGGGTGGGAGGGGGGGTGTTTCGTCTTTGTGTGTGGGATTTTTTTTATTTTTTGACATTCCCTCGTGTGACCGTACTTGCAGGCCAGAGGGCTGCAGCTGCCCAAGCCTCCGGCACCGCCCCCGGTGGAAATGGAGTATTACACCATCGCCGAATTCCAGACGACCATTGCCGACGGCATCAGTTTCCGTGCCGGCCAGCGCGTCGAGGTGAGGGCCGCCCATCGTCACCACCACCACCATCATCGGCCTTGGTCAGTCCACTGCTGGACGAAAGTCCTCCCCAATACGCCGCCATCTGCCGCGATCCTGCGATGTAACAATGCACCCAACACCTGCACACGGGCGCTTACAATCGCTCCGTCTCCTGGGTGGATGTGCTCTGGGACGCGTTCCATTCCTTGGCTGCCACTCCATTATTATTCTTGACCGTTGGCCATCATTCTTCCTTGCGATGTGTCCTGCCCAGGCCCACTTACTTTTATTAACGGTTTCTTATTCTTCAGATTTTTTTACGCTACTAACTCGTTTTCTCATGAACGTGTTCCTCTTTCTATCTGTTGGTGGAATCCCACGCATGCACATCGCCACGCTTTCTTTGCACACGTTTTGGTTTTTGTTCGCCCGTGACGTCAAAACGAACACCAACCAAGGGTGAAGCGGTGGCGCAGTGGTTAGCGCAACTGAATTGATCAGTGGCGAAAGAACCGACTCCCACTTTTTCTTTCGTCGAACGGGCAGTTGATCAGCAACGTTAACGTATTCACGTTGGTGAGTGAGCCAGTCGATGGCTTTGGGGGGGGGGGGGGGGTAGTCTCATGGTGAATATCTCAAATGCTGCCGGTGAAGGATCGAAGTGTGCAGCGTGTAGGCCCGTGGTTTGAGGTTGGTGACCGCAGTCACACTGTGGGCTCACCAGCTCACACACTGACCGGTATGGTGACCTTTGGTCAAACGGCCCTGGCAAGCGATATGCTGTGGGGAGGGCCTTTAATCCAGCGGCGGATCGACAACGGACTGAAACAACATTGAATGTAATGCGCATGATCAACCTGCTATGTTGCACTCATATCGGTGCATTTACATTCGACGTTTCTTGTTCACCGGGAACAATTTGGTGGCTGTAATTGCTTCCGTGCGAATTAATTACGGCATTTTCGGTTTATCTCTCGACTTTTAGATATGATAATTTAATCTGAAGCCAATATGCAATATCTTATTCTCGTCAACATCAGCACATGGTATTTAAAGTCAGATTCATATCACACGCACCACACTTTAGTGGCTTCCTACATAAACAACAGGACGATTGTGTAAACAAAGGAAATCTTACCAATTATATCAGTCCAAAACACTACTCTGTTTCGTGAAGGGTTTTTTTTGTTTGGAATGAGAAGATGCCAGTTATCATTTGCTTACATCTACGAAGTTGCAAAGAGCACGGGAGTGTTTTGTTATTGCTCCCACTTTATCTGAGCCACTGCTCGGTTTATCAAGATTAATTCAGGACATATTTCCTGCCCGCCGAAAACAGACCACCGCGCGCTTGTTTGGAGTCTGCGCAGCAAAAAAAAAAAAAACCACGCCCTCGATGTTTTCTTGTCACGACCGGGGGATTTGCGCAGTGCACCCTTCGAGGTCCTCCGCAGGCCAAGTCGATGACACGCGCTGCCGACATAACGGTCACGGAGAGGGGCTTGGCGCACACACGTACGTCCTTGTTTTGCCGTGCCACTTGAAATTGCGCCTTCCTGACCTTGGGCCAACTCGCGCGAGAATGGAGGGAAGTGTCGTGGCTCACAGTCCACCAAACCCATTCTTCCCATTCCTGCCAGGCCTTCCTTTGCAGCCCAGCCCAGCCCACGTGGCACGGAATAGCCGATTCCCATGACCCTCAGCTGAGGAACTAAAAACGTCAACGCTCACCAATTAGTGAACAAGGGCTCCTGTGTTAATCCTGCGATGGAAGCACTCAGTGACATGTTTCTATCGTTCAGTGGATACTTTGAGAATGATTTGTTATGCTGCATAAAAAAAACTATTTGGTAGCCCAACTTTTAAACGAAAGTGCATTTTCTTTTCCTATTCTGATTTTATTTATTTAAATGTACAATTGCGAAAACATAACAACTGCATAAACGTCCATTGACTACTGTCATAAATACGGGTATCACCGACTTGCATGCATATAATCAAAAAAAATATATACGATGAGAAAAGACATGTACATCGCTATTCATAGACTCTCCCATGGTGTTTTGGTTAGCACACTGGACTTGTCATACAAAGGTCGCCAGTTCGATTGTTGAAATAATGGACACGTATCTTGTGACCTCACTGCAGCGCTTGTGCCAATCTAGGTGCACTTTGAGGCCACGCCAAGTCTTAGGCTCACTGACGGGAGGCCACAATATAGGCCCATTATTTGTCGCTTTAAGAGCATCTGAAAGCTCGCGATGCAGTGACTGTCTTTGTTCAATGGTTAGCCAAAAGCTGTTGTCAGGATGACCGGAGTTCGCGTAATGCTTTATGCCCCTTGACGAGCTCAGCGAGGTATTGCGTTTCATTTGTGACAAGCACCTTCTGTGCAATGAGCGCGCGACCTTATAACCTATTCCTTCGGCACTGGGAAGCCGATGCAGCTCGGCGAGCACCGGTTCTTGCGGTGCCCGTCACTACGCGTCGTCCGTCTGACCTAAGTGCGGGTTGCCCTCTCCCCTGGCGGCAGGTGATCGAGAAGTGCCCGAGCGGCTGGTGGTACGTGCAGATCGGGCGCGACGAGGGCTGGGCGCCGGCGTCCTTCGTGGAGAAGCGGAAGAAGACGAACCTCGTGCGGCGCAACAGCAACATCGCGAGGCCCAAGGTGCCGCCCCCGGCGCCGCCCGCGCAGTCGCGCGGCTCCTCCGGCTCCGACGAGCGCCGGAACTCGGAGGTGGACGGCCGCTCGGGGGCGTCGAGCAGCGTGGGCGGCGCGTCGTCCGAGAGCAACGACAGCGACTCGCACATTTACGACGTTCCCGCCGTCGAGGAGGCGAGCGCCCACTATGAGAATGTGGAGCTGTCGCCGCGCGGCTCGCCGGCTCAGTACCGCGCGGTTCGCGCTAAAGGCGACCGTGCCTCGCCCGGCGCCCAGTCCTCGCCCGTCAAGTCGTCGTGGGCGCGGCCAGGAGACGCGTCGCAGAACTCGCCTCTCGGCTCCAAGTACGCCTCCGCGGTTTCCACCAGCCCCGGTTCGCTGACGAAGCGGCTGAGCTTCCTGACGTCGGCGTCGGGGTCGCGGGACGATCCGAAAGCCGCCACGGTGACCGTGAGCCCCTCCGTCGTCCCTCCGTCTTGCCACGGCGCGCCCAAGTCCCCGCTGGTCATACTCCCCAAGTCATCCGCGGCGGCGACGGCGGCGGCATCGCCGAAGGCGCAAAAGGTGACCGCGAGGCCGAGGCTGGCGAAAGACGACTCCTCGGAGGAGAGCTCCGGGGGTGCTCTCGACGCCGCTGCGGGGCTGGCGTCGGTTTGCCGAGTGGATTCGTTGGAGGAGTCGTCGAGCGACAACGAGAGGCGGGATGTGAGCAGCCCAGTGAAGCCGGCGGTCCGGCCAAAGCCCGCAACGCCGTCGCCTTCTAAGGGCTTCCCGGGCAAGGTGGAAATGTTGGGCCTTCGAAATAGGCTCAAGCCCGTGCACCAGACCTCGTCCGATGGTACGGACATCCCTCCCGACAGGAGGGAGGATAGGCCATCGAACGGGAGCCGGCCGGCGGCCGCGTCAGACTGCCACAGGGGCGTGCGGAGGGTGGCCTCGGCTGAAGCGCAGCTGCCGAACGGAGCTGCGGCGGTAGCGGCGGCGGGCTCCTGGAGGCACGGCGGGCCGGAACTGCGCAGGGCGGACGCTTGCGGCGGCGGCCCCAAGCCGTCAAACCACACTGGGTCGGAGATCTTGACAAAGTCGGAGCTAGGCGCAGGCGCCGGGGAGGTGTACAGGACCATCGCCAGATTTGAGAGCGTCCAGAGGTCTCAGGTGGGCTTTGAGATCGGCGAGGAGGCGGAGGTGATCGAGAAGCGGGACGAGGGCTGGTGGTTCGTGCGGCTCCGCGGCGAGGACGGATGGGTTCCGTCCACGTACCTGGAGCCAGGTTGAGCAGGGGGACAGGGACGCGCTCTTCGAGGGCGCGGCGCGAGGAATGGCCGCGAGCGGCGATGGCGGTCGAGGGGCAAAGCTGGCAAATAACGGCGTCCCGCCAAAACGGCCGCCCCCACCGAAGAGGCCTTCGGTGGGCACGGGGAAGCCGATGGCCGCCGTGAACGCGTCGGTGCAGCCTCAGACGACTCCGGTGAAACTCTCCAATGGCTCCCTGCAGTCGGGACACTTGGGCAGCGCCACCTCGCAGCAGCAGCAGCAGGGACGCGGCGACTCCAAGAGGAGCGCCAACGGGCGCGAGGGCGGCGGGCGGCAGGCGGCGGCGGTGAAACGGAACGAATCGTTTCAGGCAGGCTCGACGTCGCGCCCGTCCGTACAGGTGCGACGCAACGTCTCCTTCAACGGGCCCAAGCCTTGGGGCGGCGCCGGCAAAGCGGAGCAGCTCGCGACGTCGAATGCGGCTGCAGTGGCCGCGGCGGCCGCGGCGGCTGCGGCCGGAGGGGGAGCGGCCAGGCCGTCGTGGAGCCGCGCCAAGTCCGAGGCTGGGGCGGCAGGGGGAAAAAGGCCCGCGGCTCGTGCCATGGCCATCTCGATCTCGAGGCCGGTCGGCAGGCCCGAGGAGGTGTTCGTGGCGATTGCTGATTACGCGGGCGACGAGGAGACGATGGGGCTGCTGGAGGGGTCGTCGCTGGAAGTGATCGAGCGAAATCCGAACGGATGGTGGTACTGCAAGGTGCTGGAAGGGGACGAGGAACGGGAGGGGTGGGTGCCCTCCAACTACTTGGAGAGGAAGAGCTAAGCTGGAGGCTTACAATTTGGGGGGGCACTAACATTGTGGGTCTTTTATTTCTGATTTTGGGGCCTTATTTTAATATTGTTAGATATTGTTTTTTGCTCATTTAAGTTTCGGTAAAACAAAATAATTCCAAATGCATATTACAAGTTAGCAAGAATTCGTTTTCAAAGGCGGCATATTTCTAAGGTTACTTTAGTGTTTATACCACACCAATTCCTTCTATCTCTCGGCGCCTCTTGTCATGCAAAGCATGAGAGACAGAATGAGGAAACGTATGTTCAGGAAACAATCACGTTGCCTGTTAAGCACAATAAGTCGGCTTGGACAGGACACATCCCCTGCAGGTATCTTGAGTGACAGACGAGACTGATGATGGACTGGGAGCCAACGGAGAGAAGGGGCCTGAAAGTGTGTCCACTGCAGAGAGGGAGCGATGAGATCGTTTCACGTGCAGGAGCGAGATGGATCGAGGTATTGCAGAACCATGGAGGTTGGGACAGCATGACTGATGATGACAGTGATGAAATGCATCTCACGGTTTTTTGTAGGGTAAGCACGTGACAGTCGTACAATGCCGGAAGTGAATATAAAAAAAAAATACCAACTGTACTTGAGTGTTTAAAGTTACTTAGTACGTTTGGAATTTGAGATAGCGTTCACTACTTAATTATTGGTGCACATTGCATTTTACGACTAATTGTTTCATTGCATTTTGGCCGCGATATGGGTTCTTTTGCACAGTGGTTGGTGCTACTCATGAATTGAGTCTTTGATATCGTCTGGGTCTAAATTTTGCAATTGAGGAAAATATATTTCGTGTGTATAAACTGATGTAAATTAAATTAGAATGAAGAACTGCTGAAATTGAAATTACAATTTATTTTAATTTATGCAAAAAAATAGCATTACTTTTCTACACAGATAATGTTACTTGAAAAGGTAGCCGAAGTAACATGGTAAAGGTGTTGCATTTGACCTCTCGCTGTCGCAGGAGGTCAGACGTTTGGCGCAACGGTCCTCCGCTGACTGTGCGTGATGAGTAAACGAATTGCATTAAGCTCTCCAGATCTGGAATCTGGTTTCTAAAGTAATTATTTGGCTCATGTTATCGCTTACATTTGGTGGCTGTTCTGCATTCTGTTTCCTCTAAAGAATAAACAGTCGAGGCTTTTTTTTCTGGAATGAAGGTCACTAACGGGTCAGCCACCGCAAGTTCATATTTTTTTTTTCAATTTGTAAAAAAAAAAATGATTTTAATTTCGCCTTGTTGAAATTATAAACTGGGTGGCGTTTTGCAAGCGACGACCACTCAGCATTCCTATGGCAGGGGCCAGCTTCCCACAGGATAATAATTGTTGACAATAATAGTTGTCAAACCACGGGTGACTGAAACTGGACTCGGTTGTCAGCAGTGCTGACTACTGAGGCACCAAATGACCGCCTTGCCATATCCAAACAAACAGCGGGGATAGCACGTGTTCTGTCTTGGAGCAGAGCAGTGCCCAAATGATAAGTGCTTTGATTTATGATTGCCGTTATCCTTGAAGGATTGTTATTATTGTTGTTATAAAGCACAGCATCGCAGGGGTTAAAATCTGAGCTCGTGCAGAAAAAAGCCGCGTGACGTCACTGCTCCACGTGACCAGGGTCTTTTGAGTTCACCCCGTCACCTCCATCCTGTCGCATTGTTATCTGCTTTCTGTATTTTGATACATCTGTTGTGGGGCCAGCGTTCTCCCAGCTCTGGCCACAACAACGACAAAAAAACATGATTGATTGTATGCCTCGAGCACTGAATGTATACATGGCCAATTTGATTAGAGACGGTGATATCCACAGTGAGTTGCAAAGGAACCAAAAAAAAAGGTGGAAACAAACTAAGTGAGAAAAAATAATACAAAAAAACGACGATGTATAGTAAGTGTAAATGTAGCTAAAGCTTTAAGAAAAATCATGATAGGAAACCCACATTGAATGGTTTATTTCCACTTCTTTTTCTGGGTGCATAAAGGTTGCAATGAAATGCAACCAAGAGTGTATTTCAAGGCTCGTATATGTGTAGCATATCTTTATCCCATTGGTGTAATATTGCTCGCCTGTTTTCTTTTCCAAATGTAATACCATTATGTTACTTTAAAGGCATGGTACGAATAGGTTATTCCATATGCTGAAGATGTATGCATTTGCTTTTGAATACCTACGCAAATAGCTTATGTTATACTTTGCAGTCGACACACACCTTTGTAAGAAAAATATAAAATGTATGATACTCGGTGTTTCTTTGTTACTCATAAATGCTTTTTTTTCTCCAATGTATCAGTAAGGTTAGGTGGGCCATTGTTGTGCTGTTAACATGCGATAGTCTTTGAAAACATTGGTAAGTTAAGCATTTTATGATTAATTTAAGTAACAATTTATCAAGCAAGACTTGGAAAGAAATGTTTGGCTGAAGGCCATTATTTTACTGACTAGCCTTATTGATGTTTCTACCTTGGGCAGTTTTTAATATAACGATTACACATTCTCAATGGCAATCAATATTTAATATAAAAAAAAAACAATTCCTTTCAAATGTTAAAAAAACATTTTTTTAATTTGGGGAGGGATATAACCACGGTCATAAAAAGTGGATATATCAAGCCATAAAAATACTATAATTGGGAACCCATGTGGCACTTGGGTAGAATAAGTCAAACATGTAACAGGCCAGCGACCAAAACCTCTGCGTACAAATCTATGTATGCATTCGGCCTAATGTTGCGGCTACTATCACTTAGCAGAGGCTCCGTTGCTCAGTTCCTACATGAAGTACATTTCTTGATTTGGCATTTGAATAAATTGAAATTGAAAAACAATGGGATCTAATTCCAACGCATGTCCGAGGGAACTTCCTTTTGTGGGTGCTACGCTTTGTGTTCAGCCTTGGTTCTCCAGGTGTGATGGCAGGCTGCAGTTCGAGTGATGCAGATTATCCATGTTGGTGGTAACTGAAAGGTTACCACTGACATTTTTAATACATAAATGATGTTGAGCTGGTATAGTAGGTTGAGCTGAAAGGGTAAAAAAACTAATTGATGAGTGATGTCAATCGAGAGTGGAGTGAGAAAATCCATTCGGTTTTTCACAGTGCAAGGAATGACAATTCTACATCAATTTGGGCCAAAATGTGTACGTGTGAAATTCACCAGAGCTGGTAGCTTACATTGAATGGCACGGGTTAAAACTCTAGGTGGAATGATTCATCCTCTCCCTGACAACTGAATGAATATTTGACTCGATAATCATTTTTTCTTAAAATATTTCAGCGAATGGCAGCACCTCTTGTGACTGCGAAGATTGAATCCATGAGATGGAATGTCACACAAAGCGAAACAACATTGCACACATGACTACATGCGTGCATCGTGAGCTTAAGAAAACATAAAACAATTAATCAATGTATCGTTTCGTCCCTATTCAAAACAATTTGTTTCATAAACAATACTTTTCCCAGACACACTGTAAAAAACGTCATGTTAGGCTCACATGAGGACATCTCCAAACAACGCCATTTCTTCTTAACATCATTATATTTTTCTAAAAATCATAAAAACTATGTTTAACCAGCTTGAAAGTATCCTCTTGCTTAGTTTGCTCATAACCGCAATAGACGTTGAAAATGTGACGCGGCTGCTCTCGATTTGTGATTAAGTTGAATTCGTTTGGGCCTCCTCTCGGGGGGAGGAGCGGCGTGGGTTTCGCGTCAAGGTGATGCCAGTCCAAAGCTTGCCAAACGAGCCCCTGGGAGTGCAAAGCGTGGCAGCGCCGTTGATTGCATCGCGAGGTCATCACTGTGCCGAGGTTTTGTCCCGGTGATGAACGGGCGCACACGCCGAGAGCGGCACATCGACAGACATTCGCGTGCGATGGAAACGTAATTTTTCTTCTTATATCGCGGCACCTTTTTATTTGTCGGCAAAAGGGAGAAAAAAAAAGAGACGTGCGTAATTTAAATTTGGGCAATGTTGGTGTGTAATGTGTTCGCACGCGCGCGCATCGTACATTCACAACGTCAAAGGTGAGGCGTGGATTACTGCCGTGTGTAAGTGTCAGGGGGGGAGGGAGGGGAATGTGACTTCTCAATTGAAAAAAAAAATCCGTGACCTTTGAGTAAAATGGATTATCGTTGAAACGTTTGAAGCAGCATCTCATAACGAGGCAATGTCGTGTATGCGTGTGGTCCGCATGATAGCAGTTCAATCGCGGTTTTAATATGACAGCAAGATGTCTCGGGAACTGTTATTATTTTCAGTTCATCTCCTATATTCTTCCAATTGACACTTTTGAGTGTTGCCTCGTGACTTAAATGTGCCTGTCCACCACCCTTTGCAGTCTGTTACTGCTCAGTCAGTCTCTTGTGGATGTTAATGTACCTGCATTGCCCATGAGAAACAAATGTACGTCCCTGAAGATTTATTCATAACCCAAGTGCAGTGAATTGTGTACACATATGCAGAAACTACTGCTTAATGTCCTGTAATAAACCATAATGTGCAATTATATATGTATATATAAACAAAAATCATCAACATCAAAGGACATGTATTTATTTTTAGGGGAGGAAAAAAAACCACCGTCGAGCGATTTGAAATTAAATCTTTGGAATGCCCTATTTGTTCTGCATAGGTCTGAGTGGCAACGGCACGAAATTTACTGAAATTCTCCATCGCGAAGCACTTGATTTTTTTATCGGAAAGCGATCCAACAATCGTTTACACATTCTGACCCAGAATGCAAGCCATACTCAGCACCATTTCATTTTTTTGAAAATAGTGTTAATTTCTTAGTAAATTCCCTATATTTGTATTAAAAAACTGTAATTTCACTTATATATTTTTTTATACCTGACAATCTTGGTTTTTTTTCATTTACTACAAGATGGCTAAAACCATTCAAGTTGTGACCTCTAATATGCTCACAGGGAATGGCCCAGTGGAAGAAGCTTGCCGATGGGCGTTTGCAGTTGGCTGACATTAACAATGGAATTGTCCCTCTGCACGTTTCGTGCAATCACATTACTGGGAGTCGCAGGCCACCCCGTCCCAAAGGCATAGTTCTGGCACAGTCATTTGAACTGCAGTAACATAGTTCTTGGATCGACTAAATGATTCGTTGGAAGTCAACTTCTCATTCTGCGGTTGTATCACGCATTGTTCGCCTTGATGTCTGACGCTTCGCTCCACATGTTGGAAGCTTCTTTAGGTAACGGTATTGGAAACGTCGGACATCGTTCAGTTTCTAAACAAGCAGCACACAGTACGGTAGAGTTGAACGACTGGTTACATACGAACCAACGGAAAACGCATAGCCATACAGCACAACTGCTAACACCTACGCAGCGGTACAAGTCAAGGGAATGACTTTTAACAGCTTTTAAAAGCCTATGTAAGCTTAATAAAGTGCGAGGGGAATAGGAAAGCGCTGCTGAAATGTAGCGTATATATTAAAGGCATTAAAAGGAATATATGTGCAAGTTAAATATAGACACTGACTTAACAGCAGTGCTGTGACTGGTGGATTAAGACTTTTTTTTTAAGCACCGCATTGTGGCATCTGTAATCATTGGTTTGAATTCCCACGTAGATGGGAATCCCACGGCACTGTTATTGTTGAACACTAATAATAATGCCAATGATTTACCCATGTAAGCCTCAAAGAGTTTCCGTATAATGTGTTGAGAGGAGGAGGAGGGGGGGGGGGGGTCCTGCACTATTTAGACAAGTCCACGAGTGTTTGGCTTCATGCCAGAGGTAACCGGAGAGCCCAGCGAAACCCCACCAAGCTTACGAGGAGATATCACTCAAAAGCTCCCTGCAGATGGACTCAATCCAGTGAGTGGAACAAAGTCGATCTGCGGACTGAAGCCGTTCTTGTACTGCGTTTGCTGGCACCTCGCAGCCATCGCAGCTCCTTGCAGACAACACTGGTGGGTCACCCTTCCATTCCTGACTCTCATTGGCTTCCACGTTCCAACGATATGGGGCGCATTCAAGGTGACTTCTTAGAAGTCCAATACTCATCACCCACAGTTATGAAAGATCTCATCATTCGGGGCAATGAGATTGTCAGCTGAATTGTCCCGCCAAGAGCTGTGCTCAGTCTCCAATTGTATTGACTCGCTACCTGCCCAAACCAATCGCCCACACATTGGCCATTGTACAGCCTACGTCCAAATATACAAAATGAATGACACGTGGAACGATAAGACCTCGGCGAGGGATGACCATCGTCTCTCGCCACGTTTCTGCGACGCAGTTTAGGTGTTGGTCAGGTCGTGTTGTGTTGCTTAGCGCAATCTCTGTGCTGTCGAGTGGATGACGCTTCCACCGGCTCCTTCGCATTGCTTGTGGTAGCGTGTTTTGAGTCGACGTTTTTGGGGAAACACAATTCGGGCAAATATGCTTTTAATTACTGCTGTAGGTGCAGCGTGCAGGGTGTTATTGCTTTCCGGTTATGGCCGTGTCGTTCTCGTTGTTTTGTACTCTTAAAGGAAGGAACCAAATGTGCAACCTTTATTTCTTGTTTATTATAATTTCAGCCATTTTATGCAAAATGAAATGTTTCGGTGATATTTTTGCAAATCGTTTAACCCTTGGCCCCATAGCCTGTAGGAAGCGATTGTCTGATTTTTAAGAAAAAAATTATTTATGTGACCTCCGCTTGCATGAATCGGTAAAGTATTGAGTACTTTACATGCTTCACACCAAAATTATGTTTTATTAATGTTATTTCTGTATGCACTGTTGACGTCGCTTTCAAAAGTCAATAAAATATTAAATGGCACAATTTCATGGCGCTTGCTCTTGGACGGTGACACTGGGAGAAGGAGGGATGCGAAAACAGGGGAAGTGATTGTTCAGCCGGAGGAAATATTGTAATCATGTGTGCGCGTTTGAGTACGTGGCAATACGTACAAGTTTTCATTCTAAGCCACTAAAATAATGGCTTTACGATCAATCAGAATCCACTCTGTAATGTGAAGCAATTTGACAGTTCTGTATACAATCAGGTTACCGAATTTCCGGAAGGCTCAACTGGCACTCGCAATGAGTTAGCAGGCCCCTCTCCTCTCTGAGCTCCACCTACATTAGCATAGCCCCGCCCACTCAATCACTAGCCCTACCCACCGACTCATCAACCCTGCCCACGACTCAGGTAGCCCACCTGGGCTTCATATCTAATTATAATATAGTCTGGAGCCGCCAAACCCCACATCTCCCTCGACCTTGGGGGCAGGAGAAATATTTTCCAGAGCTCAGCCCCGAACAGCTCCAACTTTGCCTGTACTCATGCATGAAGCCAGACAATTATACAGCCGGACTAAATTAGAGTGGGACATCCTTTCTTGAACCGTGACGATTGGTAACCTTGGTATACTCATCATGCTCATCATTTCCATGGGTGATTTGAAGCTTTCGTGACTGCAGAAATCCATACTCTTAGGTTTTTTCGGTAAAGTCACGTCGGTAAAAATAAATAATAACATTTAAATAATATAAATAAAAGAATAAATCACGACGTTTCGTAGGCAACACAAGTCTCCGTCATCAG